CAGCTTTCCACAACAAAACTCACCACTGCGAGAATGGATGCCAATGCGATTTGGATATTGGATATTTCATTTTTTTTATTTTTTAATTAAATTTAATATTTTATTAAAGCATTGAAGGTAGAGACCAGGATTGGCTACGTTCCTGACCACGATAGTAATGTTAAAACTCTGTTTCCACTCAATATTCGACCGACACGTTGTAACAAACCGACGTCGTTTAAGCGGGGAGGGCTTTCGTTTACCTCCAAATTCTGAAAATGGAAATGGCTCGAGGGTTTCTGTTGTCTCTGTAAATTGGAAGAAAGGAAGAAGATGAAGATAGTGACGTACAACGTGAATGGGCTGAGGCCACGCATTGCGCAATTTGGCTCTCTTCTCAAATTGCTAAATTCGCTGGACGCAGATATCATTTGTGTTCAGGAAACCAAACTGAGAAGACAAGAATTGACCGCCGACTTGGTCATGGCCGAGGGCTACGAGTCCTTCTTCTCCTGCACTCGTACCTCCGAGAAAGGCCGAACTGGATACTCCGGTAAGTATTTGTTCAATTGCCTCAACCAAACCACAGCAGACTCTCTTCAAATTTTGCAACTTCAGTCTCGAATTTGGATTGATTTCATGTCACATGTGAAGGTGTGGCTACGTTTTGCCGCGTAAAATCGGCATTCTCGAGTGACGAAGTAGCGTTGCCGGTGGCGGCAGAGGAAGGCTTCACTGGGCTCCTTGAGATTGGAAAAGGAGAAATGGCTGCGGCTGCAGAAGGGCTGGAGGAGTTTTCGAAGGATGAGCTTCTTAAGGTTGATGGCGAGGGACGGTGTATTATCACAGATCATGGTCATTTTGGTATGTTTTTTCAAGCTTGAGTCTTTGTGCTTTCACTTGTTGGAGAAAAGTTAAAGCTTTTATTGACAATGCTTGTCTAGTTCTCTTCAATTTGTATGGGCCTCGAGCTGTATGTGATGACACAGAAAGGATTGAGTTTAAGCTCAAGTTTTTCAAGATTTTACAGGTAACTAAAGGGACCTTTTGCTCTTTTGAGTTACTATTTTATGTAGTTCCTTACTTTTGTGCATTTATGCCTTTGGTTTATTACAAGAAGTGTTTAATTAGCATGCAAAAGTTATAATTGTTTTTCTGTTGTGTTTTATTTATTTATTAATATTAGGTAATTTTTGTTGTAGAAAAGGTGGGAGTCTCTCCTGTTTCAGGGGAGGAGGATATTTGTTGTTGGTGATCTTAACATTGCACCCACCTCTTTAGATCGTTGTGGTGCAGAACCAGAATTTGAGAACAACCAGTATGATTTTTTTTCTGATCTCTATCTCTATGTAATAGTTACATGTGCATGCAATGTTTGTACAGTTTTATAAGTAAAGCTCAATACCTAATATTTTGAGGAAATACCTTGTAGATTTAGAAGATGGTTTAGATCTATGTTGGTGGAAAATAAAGGCTCATTCTTTGATGTTTTCAGAGCAAAGCATCCTAATAGGTAAAACTAATTCTCAAAAGGACTTCTAGCAGTCATTTGTTTTGTTCTTATGCATACTTGAGTTTGGATTTGAGTAATGCGTTATATTTACTCAGTAGTCGTGGGAACATGTTCAGTCATTTGAAGTTATTATTGTATGATATCTTTCCTTCAACATATCTTGAGTGCCCCATTCAACTTCATGTTTACTTTTATGGTTTAATCACATTATCATTATATGATCATTAAGTGCGACGGTGTATGATTTCGAGTTTGGATTTTTTACCATCAAGTCTTCTTCGGTCAGTATATTGAAAAGGCCATAATAAATTCTTACCATTTGTCAATCCTCCATGCTCTCCTCTATGTATTCCTTTTTACCATCATTTTAATATTTTATGTCAAACTCTGACATTCATTGTTACCTGAAAGCGTCTGTCCATTTTTTTGGTCTTACCTTGTTTGTCCGTTTTGTGTGTGTGTGTGTGTGTGTTTTTTTTTTCCTGCAGAAGAGAAGCGTACACATGCTGGCCACAAAATACAGGTGCTGAAGAATTTAACTATGGCTCTAGAATCGACCACATTCTTTGTGCAGGATCATGCTTACACCAAGAGCAGGACCTGCAAAGCCATAATTTTGTAACTTGCCATGTCAAGGAGTGTGACATATTGACACAGTATAAACGGTGGAAACCAGGAAATTCACTGAGGTATAGGATACATGGATGCTTGTTTTGTGTGCGTGTGCACCCCATTGGTGCGTGTCATTCCTTTGTAGTTTTGCTTTCATGATTATGCAACAGTGGGTAATGTGCAACGCATGCATGTGGTACATATATATGTAAGCATGTGTGAGGGTTAGGATGTTACTTTGAC